ACAACAGCACATTGAGTTATAATGATGATACAGCAACATCACCACCTTTAAAAAAAATTAAACCATCTCTTCCTGAAAGTAGTCTGCAGGAAAATTCAATTCAACAGAGTAGTTCAYCTTTATTCCAAGAACTAGCTAACAATACTCTACTACAAAAAAGTATATACTCATTATTCTATAGTCTGTCTCACGAAAGAAAAGTACCGTTTTAAGCATGTAAACTGACCCACAAGTTTGTGCTGGGCTGTATTGCATGTTAAGTGGGAGGTGTTGCGGCGTGGGTATGCGCAAAAATGATTGATTTTCATCAAGACGCGATCCTTTTCTTTCGTGAGAGACTTACGGCGTTAAAAGATATGATAAATACTTATTAGTAGGGCTCAGATTTTAAAGCATAATAAAAACATAGCAAGCATAAAATTGTTTTAAAAAAGCAAAAACGAAGCATATTTTTTTTAAAAAAAAAGGCAAAATAAGCATGACCCAAAAATTAACATCAACTATTTATGAAAAAGATTAAAAAATTAATTTAAATTACAAAAGACTACCATGTATTTTGCTAAAAAAAAAAAATGCATTAGATTTAACTTTTATCATTTTAAGTGAATTTACTTTTACAAAGTACAACCCTAAATCTTAAATTGATTGATTACATGTGTACTGACCATAGGTACCATAGGCTATATGTAAATTGATATGCTTATGACCGACAATTTAGAATGAGAATGACATGAGACGAATATATATGTATAAAAAAAAGCATCTACTTTAAAATCAAAGCCCTACTTATTAGTATTTTTTTTATTTTTTTTTTGTTTGTAATTTTTTCTACACTTTTCAGTTAGAATGGAAGCATCTAATGAACAAGGGTTTAGATGTCCAAAACAAGAATGTCGAAAACTGTTTCGTAAAGAAAATTTATTGATGGTTAGTCTTATTAAATTTATACAATTTTCTACTTTCAATAAAATTAATCTTGATCATATATTAATAWTATTATTATTATTATTATTTAAGATGCACATTAAACACTATCATTCAGAGTACACTGAATTATTGGTGTCTACACCAAATGTAACTGATCT